AAATAGCTCGTTATATCACAACATTTTACCATATTGCTAAAACATCACGACTTTTGAATCTTGGCGGAGAATATCACAACCTTTGATTTCTTTGCAAAACGATACACGAAAGTCGGAAACCAGCCATCATTACATTATTTAAAGTCATTTCACGAAAGTCCGAAAGTATCATCACCTCCGAAATACTCCGTATTGTTCTCAATAGATACAAATCTTCCCCCATGGTGTATCAACTATGGCCGGTTTCCGACTTTCGTGTATCGTTTTGCAAAGAAATCAAAGGTTGTGATATTCTCTGCTAAGGTCCAAAAGTCGTGATGTTTTAGCAATATGGTAAAAGGTCGTGATATAGCGAGCTATTTTGCCTAAAAAAAATATTAATTAAAAAAAATATTTGTTTTTTATATACTCAAATAAAAATTAAAAAATACTATCGACAAATATGAATTATAATATATATCAGTAAAATCATTACAGAAGTTAAAAAAATAATCTTTTTGATCATATTTGAATAGAAAATGTATATATACAAGCAATTAATGCATATAGTAAAAAATTTCTAAATAAAGTATGCATTAAATGTGAGTTGACTTCTCTTGCTACTATTTTTGGTAAATAGTATGGCTTTCAATATAAGTATAGATTTAATTAATCTAACAAAAAAAAATGTATTTCAATTCAGTAGATTAATGTGGTTGTTTGGCATGTTTAACCGTTGAAACAATAGCACGGTTTTAAAAATTAAATATACATGCTTTCATATTAAAAAAATTATTTTAAAGTATATTATAAATAAATGACAATTCATAATATAGATATATAATTTTATTTATAATAAATATGACAAATAGGCCGTTTTATGGAGTTCCCAACAGATTTTGTGACGATAACAATTGTGTTATTTGAGAATATTTTTTACAAGCAAGATAGCCATTTCTTTCAACACTAGTAGAATACAGCAACAACATTACATGGGTGTAAATTAAAAAATTATACCTAAATTATTATTATTATTTATTTTTACATGGATGTTAATAAAAAAAATATATATAAGTTTCAAATTATTATAAAAAAAAATTATTTATTATATATAGTTAAAATAACTCTTATTACACTTGACTTGTCCCCCTTTTATCACAATATATGTGTTATCATCCGACTCGATAAAGCATAATTAAGGACCTTAAACAGCACCGTAAGCAAATTTGACTCGGACACCGATGTAACTTAAAGTCCTTCCGGTTCACACAACAAACCATTTCGACCCTAGAAGACCGAAGTGATCCTATTCCGAACCGAGGTCATTCCTAAAGCACAAGGCGCCTACACGCCCCTGTCACAATCTACGAGATTTGTCATCATTCGCGTAGGGCCCACTGGTTCAACCGCCCATCTAAAGTAGCTTTTTCTAACAAACAATGCACGGATCCCAATGTGTGTATCAAAAAGGTTCCTATAAATAGCCAACTAATGATATTTGTACGGGATCCGATTCCGGACCCAAAAATACAAGATTCACAATGCAACACGTAACAGCCCACAAAGGCTTTTCACCTCGGTCCACCTCGGACCAGGGCTACAGTTGAGTTTTTCTTACATGATTTACATCCAAACCACTCGTAATTATCATATAAACCCCTCATTAAATCGTTGTTCATAATCATACGACAACAATATATTTAAAATTCATATTTTATAATGGATTGATTATACATATGTGTGTGTAATTGATAAATAATTGTATCATTGTTTAATTAATTTAGTTTTTATTATGAAAAAAGTATATATTTATTTATATATGCAATATCAAAGTCAAACAAAACTTCAATGATAATTAATTTAATCATCATATGTGAAATTAAAATAGAAAATACGAACTATAAAAAAAAAGTTAAAAAACTGACACATAACTCCTTCATATACATGAAAATCTCGTCATTTGGGATGTAATCAACACATTTATTTTGTTTTATTGAGGAAAAAAGGGAGTGTGAATGGGAAGAAAGCTAATCCAAGCATGCGCTATTATTGTAGTCCATTCTTTTTTATTTATTTAACTTTTTTTTTTTTATCAAACTATTGTAGTCCATTCATTCCCACAAAGAAAAAAAATTGCTTTTTATTAAAAAAAAATAAAAATTGTTTTTTTTGTTATCATATTATTATTATCCTCTTTATTTATTTATTATACCTTGGGCACTTTCTTTTTTGCTTAGGCGCATAAACACTTTCTTTGACACAAATGATTAGTCAATTTATGTATACTAATGCGGTGCAGTGGATACCGTTTTGCTATAGAGTTATCGGATGACTCGACTTATGAAGCCATTTACAGTTATTCACAAATAGTGTATTGACACGCGTTCTACAATAAATGCACTTTAGACAAGTGTTAATACACTAAGTCATCAGATGACTCCATAAAATTTTTGGCGGTGAATATGAAACCTTCTGTAAGAATATATATATATATATATATATATATATATATATATTATGTATT